ACCGAAAACTTGTATATTTATTTTACTCGTTATACACAAGTCGCATCTCATAAGTATCAACTATAAACCATTGGTCATACATATAAGACAATTTTGTCTTAAGTGGAGCGTACGATTATGTGCCTCGATTTTATTTGTTTCATTCGTTTTTCTTATTTATCTATTTCTATATTATTCTTTCGATATTCACATAACACCCTGCGTTACGAACATGATATCTCAAGTGGATGGCTCTTTCGGGAATCATGAGGCCATGGTCAAGGCAATTAAAGAACTAATTTCTCGAGAGTTGACGGTGCGACTTCAGCATGTTTATAGGGAAGCGAATGCAGTGGCGGATCATTTGGCGAGCTTGGCGGCCTCCTATCCGATCGGTGTGCACCATCTCTCTTTGCCACCTCTAGGGGTGGGTGAATGACTCTACATGATAACCTTGGGGTGATGTACCCCTGACAAGTTTAAACCTAGGCCTTTAGTCTCATTGCACAAAAAAAAATATCAATATCAAGCATAAGGATACAAAATAGTCATATTTAAAAATAAAAAATAAAAAATCACATTTCTCATCGACAAACAAATAAATAAATGGGGCTGCTTTAGTAAATACTTAAAAAGCGGGGCCACAATGCAATTTTTGCTCATATTTCTCAATCCATGCATTTAGGGGTAGGGGCCGGGCTTTGTACTTGAGGCCCGAGAAAACGGTTATTTGGAACAATTTCCATAAATTTTTAATTTTTTTTGGAAAATAAATTGAACACAAAAATGTGAATGATGGGTGACCTCACATTGCATTTAATACAATCGATGCCCATTGTTAGGTGGTCAATTTTCTCATTTATTTTTAATAAGTCGGCACATAATTTATAATGGAAATTGAAGATAATTAAAGGAATTTGTGATGAATTATGCGTGTTTTTAGGTTTATGATATTAATTAGTTTCTGCATAATTAGCTTGAAATGATCTATATAATCTTACCAAATTTCAGCTTCAATGTGGGTGGCTCAAATTTTTCTTGATTTTTTTATGAAATGACTAATTTGTTGTGGTTGAAGTATTTGTAAATACACTTTTATATTATTTCTTTTTTTTTCTATTGTAGGCCGGTGTTTGATCTGTCAGAACCTCTAATTTAATTGTTTGATAAGTAACAGTTAAAAAAATAGAAAAAAAATGAGCTTTTTGAATAGCTTATTGTAAAATTGGTTGTTTTTGCATATCAAATTGCTAATTATTTATCAATTATAGTGTTAATTTCATCGCCCATTCAAAATTTCTAATTCGTTCAGCTATCTCGATCATATAATTTAATCAGTTATCAGCTAGTTAAGGTTGTTAATTCAATCAGTTGTCCGTTATCTGCTAAGCGAGATATCATTTAATTCAACCAGCTATCAATTAAGTTTGTTAATTCTGATATCTGTCAAATAAGACATGTATAATCTGTAAAAAAAACTAAAGCTATTTACGAACATATATAAATAGTTATATTCAGCCAAATATGTAACGTTTTGATCAGTGGAAACAGAATAACTGAAAATATCAGAATACAAAATAAATTGTGAACTTTTCTTTAATCCACCCAACAAAAAAAATATCACACGTTGTAAAGGAAAGACGAACACCCAAATACAATGAATTGATGGCTCTTTTTGGGGTCACGACTTTGCTTTCTATAACGATGCCATGTTACGAAATTTTGACCATTCATAATTTTTGACGACTAAATTGAGGGAATAAAAGAATAAGATACTATAAATAAACTATATATATTATATTGACATGCAAATAATTATATGATTGCGAGGCACAATATGTTGCCCATAAATAAATAAAATTATATATATATATGCATCTGGGATTTTGTTATATGGGATGAGGACAAGTATTTTTAACACACACACACATGATCACTCTCATTTCAATTTCTGTAATTTTAATTAATTTATTATAACACTTGGTTAGATATTTTTGTGGGATTTTTCTAGAGTAACAGTTGGATCTGGGCAAAAAAATAAAAAAATAAAAACTGAAATATTTTATTCACCGTGGCACACATGGGCCACATGCCGGTGGGACCCAAATCTGGTGTACAAAGTGGGCCCTTCATGATTTGCTGGAATTTCTAGTTATAATTTTAAATTATTTGTCCCTATGGCCTAATCACTTTTTTTTTCTGGACAGTAAAAATAAGAAATTTACGAATTTTTGCGCCTTCGTCACAACTGAAATCATAAAAATTTATATTAGGACCAAAATGTGGAGATTTTATTCAATTCACTAATTAACCATCGTTTATTTTTGCATTGTATATCGGTGTACTATACGTGTATTTAAAAAAAAAAAGAGAGAGTAAAATAATTCATATTTTAACTGTACAATTATAAACGATGAAATCCAATAAA